CAAGTTTGAAAAATGCAGGTCTTGGGGGATCAAGTTGGGGGAAGACGCAAAATGCATTCTATCTATAACACTTTTGCTGTTTCCCTACAGTGAATGGTCAGAATGGACGGCCAAGCCTGCTGCTTTGAAGCCTACAGTTCTGGGTTGGCAAGGGTAGAAAGAAGCCAGGTTTCTCCCCCCTCCACCCCACAGACTGTCTCCACTGGTGGCTTCTTGGTATTGAACTGTGGCATGAGAACCTGTGCTGGGAATTTGCTGGGGCAAGGGTGGGGGGCCCTGGAACTGAGGAGAAACATGACCGCTCCTGGCACCAACAAGCCAGCCATCAATTCTCTGTGCCGCTGGGACGGACTCTCCCTCCCTCCCTCCCTCCCTCTCACACACACGGTGTTTCATTTTATTTTTTAAGTTTTATTTTTTCAATGCAACATTATAAATATTATATTTACAAATATCTATACAAAGAGAGAGAGAGAGACACCACCACCCCACATCCCCTAGCCTCTCCAGTAATGGGGAGTGTACAGTATTAACTGTGAGGGAGCCAATCCCCTCCCTATCTCATCCCAGTAGTGGCCCAGGTGCAGGGACGAGAAGCACTGGGGCCAGAGTAGTTTCATCCTTTGCACTCCATAATCTAGGAATCGATGGGATTGGGGAGGTTGTTAGTATTTAGGATGAATGAGAGCACTCCTCCTTCCCAGCTATAATCACTTTCTTTGGACATGGTGGGGGCTTTGTTTTTCTGCCCTAACCGTGTATTTTGAAGTCCAGGGGAGGACCAGGCAATCAGGTGTCCTCTGAGAATTCTCCAAATCTTTGGAAAGATGGGCCTTCTTTCCTTGTCTTCTTTGTTACTGGGACTTTCTGGCTGCAAGGACGCCCTCTTTCCAAACCCCTTTTTGCTCAGTTTTGGAGCTGCTTCCATCTCCTCCTCACACCAAAGTGGAGTCTCCTTTTTGATATCCCTTGGATCTTGACTGGTGCCTCTCCTGGGCTTGTGCTTGGTTAGTGCTCTCAATTGTAGCTTAACTCCTATTCATCTGTTACGGCTCTTATATTACTTGCTTGGTACTCAGGGTTTGCATTTCTTCCATTGCCTTTCCAGACGCAGTCCACTCACTTCTAGTCCAGACACAAGCATCAGATATTCTAGTAGTCCTTTTGTAGGATGGTGGATCCAATTCCCAGTGGATTGTGCCTTGTTCTCTCACCCCAGTTCTTTGTTTTTCATGTATACTACAGTTCCGAAGTGATCATGACTTGTAGCTTGTCTTAACATTTCTTATATCCAAACGACTATGTTAGAACGGGCCCATCGAGATCTTTCTCCGATGCTGTGGTGTTTATTTTGGTATGAAAACTTCGGCACTTTCCCAAAATTTTGGACAACACCGCCCCTCATCCTCAGTCAGCAGGATCAGCAGTTTAGGAATATGGGAGTAATCATCCAAAACATATAGGGCTATAAAATGCCAGTCTTTATTTGGTCTTCATGCAAATCATTTGCCTTTTCTCTGCTGCTGAGATTTTCACATCAGTTCCTACAATTTTCACCCCATGGTTATCATTGTAACAATTTACAGTAGCAGGTTCTTAGTCCTTCGTTACGTAGAGATTACATGATTACCATTATTTTCCATTGTTTTGAATCCAAAGTAAACCAGAACGGAACGTCTGTTCTGCAGTTAGCCACTTCAATTACCTCTTCTACCATTGGGAATCAGAGATACTTAAGAGGCAATGGGCTCTTTCCCCATCTATAGCTCCACTGGTTTCAAAGATCAATCAACTCCTGCCTGTGCTTCTGCTTTAACCAAACATCCCTCCAAAACTCTCTGCTTTTTGGGTTGACCTTTTGATCTTTACTCAGAAGACTCCGATGTCCTTTCCTTCCGCTCTCTGTATTGCAGTCTTCAGCTCTTTAGAGATTCATCTCTGTATGCCAGAGCCTTCAATATTTAGACAAAAAAGGTCTCCAGGGGACCCGCCTGCGTATTTTCAGCATTTGGGCTCCCTCTGCTTCCAATTGTCTTACAGTTAGGAGAGCCGATTTACAGGAAGGGTGAAAGGCCCAGCAGTATCACAGCTCCCCAGACCAGGACTGTTCCTTTGAGTTCAGGGCACAGAAGCTTCAGTGCACAGAACTGAAGGCGGGGAGGGGGAGATCCATCTCCTAGAGTTTGTGCTTCAGGAGTATCTCCAGACAAGATGGTACCAATTTTTGCTGTTTGATCACAGCCTATATATATGTATGCGTGCGTATGTCTGTGTATATATATATATATATATGTACATATGTAACCATTTTTATATGCAAGCATGAAGCGCTTCTAAGGTTCCAAGATCTTCCCTTGATGAGAGCCATACAATGAACTGTTCTAGTTACTGTTACAACGCTCAGGCAACTCAAGAGGATTTCTGAAAATGCCTACAGAGGGCCTGGCAGAGATGTAGCCTACCTTGTGCCCTGGGATGCAAGGAGTTTGTGGTGCTGGTGACTTCTTGCTTTGGCATTCAGATGCTGCTGTCCATGCAATGGAGACATCTGGGGAACAATCTAGCCTACCCTACTTTACCCAGCATTAGCCTCTGGGCATAGGCTGAAAGTAGTAACCAGTGCTCAGCTCAGGGGATAAGAAGGTTGTGTTTACACAAGGCATCCTAATAAGCAGGAAGGACCGGCCTCTTTCCTTCAACCTAGTGAATATCTACAGGTCCTTTTTAGCCCACTAACCTGATTGCATGATCCTTCCCTTAGTTACTGCCTACTGGGTTTTTGACTATGGCCTCCCAGGTCCTTTCTTTGGTCTCCTCTTTCAACTGCACCTTAGAATCAGAAACCTCTAGTTGAGGGATCATTTTCTTATCCCTTCTGATCAGAGTTCTCGCCTTCCTCCCTGGAACATGTCTCTGAAGCGCTCTGGACCTAGTGGTTCAAAAAGTTTTATCTGCCTCAAAACTGACCTGTTCTTAGTAGGTCTGAAATGAGGCCATGCTTCCAGCAGGAACTCAACAATCATAATATGTATATTTGGTTACTTCCATTCTTGCAGACAGAATTTGTCAATACGATACAGCACTAGACTTGCTATCAGAATCTTGACTGTAGAGGTACAGGGAGTCTATAGTTGAGGTTGCTCAGTTTAAAATCCTGCTCTTAAGAGAACATACAAGGAGTCATCAGGAAAAACTGGGGAGATCAGGAGAAAGTTTAACTAATGTTTACTCAATGCAGTGTTGAATCATAGGTAACACAAACTCTGAATTCAGGACCCCACTTGAGACCACGGTTTTAAGGGCTGATTTGCTGCATTCTTTATCCATTGTTAATCCGAACAGACCTCTTAACCCTAGTGAAGGACCACAAATCATAGCTGATTAAGTATTGAATCTGTATGGGACTGGCAGGAACTCTTATTACGCTGTGGTTGAGTAAATTAATGGAGAAATATGGCCAAGATATACAGGGCTACCTTTGTGGAAGGGATCCAGAATCTAATCTGGTTTAGTTCATGGAATTCCCATTTTCTGTCTTTGCTGAAAGAGAAGAAATGAGGTTCTAGAACATGGAAAAATGTAGCCGAGATGTGATACGTGAGGTATTCTCCAAACACAAATGACTTTATTGAATTTTCAGGAATTGAGAGAAGCGTGAGTTCAGAATAATGCTGAGAATTTGGGAGCAGTTTAGGGCCTAAACTGAGGATTCAGAATTCTCAGAAGTGACAGCAGGAATAAATGCCACAATGGCTAAACCAGTTTGCTTATAGTATTCTTAATACAATGCATTATGAGAGCTTTTATGTGAGAAGAAAACTGAAGATGGCCTGTTGGATAATGAATGTACAGAGGATTTGGATGTTGCTTTTGAGGAGGGTGGGGAAGGGCAGAACCTCATAATTTGTTTCTAGACTGGAGACAAGCAACCAACCTCTTCTTGCAGGAAACAGAAACCCAGGAATGGATAATCATTAACATATGGAATGGACTATCTCCATGGGCCTCCCCCACCTCAATCCTGCTTCCCTCCACATCAGTGGAGTAGATACGGAGTTTCAGCTCTCCTAGTATGGAAGAAGAAACTCTATTGTTGTACATAACTTGAATTGGGGGAGGAACTTTCTGTTTCAAAGATCAAAGCTTACCATTTATAGAAGAAAAGTCCCTAAGGAACAAAATGAACAATCTTTTTTCTCCCCCCTCATGCTCTGTCCACCTTCTTTGGGGTTAATTAATGCACCATATCCAAATGTATGGAACTGATTAAAAGTCTCCAACAATCTTTGGTGTGTGCTGTATTTAATCCTGAGTTGGGATTAGGGATTAAGGGGTCTTTTTCTTCAGTAGAAGAGGAAAACAGTTGACTGCCTTTTAGATATTTTCTGCTGCTACTGATATTTCCAGGTGCTCAGTTCATATCAGTAGGCACTGCAAAAGCGTCTTCAGATTTCTCAGGGACAAACCATGGAAATGACATGCTGACTCACAACCAAGTTTACCCATTGATGGGGCTTTGGGGGGATCCTCCAAAATCAGGATTTTGCCTTCCATGAAGTGCCGGCCAGTTGATGGAGAAAGGCTGTTGCCAGATTAGATAACAGTCTTCAATGAAGAATACCGTATTATTGGTGTACCTCAATAAATCCACTGAAAAGAAGATTGTCCTGCTGAAAAACATAATTTCTGTTCATACATGTCATGGGACCTTTGGGGAAATAAGTCATTTTGAAGTGAATACAATTTTCTCTAATGTGGCTTAATGGCAGGTAGTCATGCAATATGCAGAGGCCTAGTTACCCAATATTTTGGGGTTGGTGTTTAGAATTTTGAGGAAATGGGGGTGGCTCTGCTGGGGAAAATTGTTACTTTACAAAAAAGGACTGCCACAAATTTATCAGTCCCTTAAAAAGTGAGATAGATTTAAAGCTACCCACAACTTCAGTTGTTTCCTATAATTCCTGCTCATCTTGCCTTTTATTTATGCAGGTGTTTTTATTTTCTAAAAAGCCAGGCTAATGGGTGCCAAGGAAGGCACGAGTAAGCATGCTGGTTTGTGGAAAACATTTGTGAGGATACTGCTAAGCTGTAACTGCTTTGTCCTGGCCTCATTTGCTAATAGGATTTGCACTTACAGTTTGCAATAATGGCAGTCTAGTAAATCTGTTTTCTTCACAACAGAATTTGCTCCATCATTGCAATGAGAGTGAATCTACACAAACTTAAATGTTATGAAAGTGAAAGTATGCTTTGAAGTTTCATCCAGTTTTTAAGTGAGTGTACATTCAAGCTGTCCTGCAGGACTGTCTGTTGCATGGGAGGGGTAGTTTGAAAAAAATCAAAAGGAGCCAAGTATTCTGGCGTCACCTTTAACTGACAAAAGATAAAGGCAACGTATTGTGTAGAGCAGTGGTCACGAACCAGTGGGCCAGGGACCACTGGTGGTCCACGAGAAAATTTTGGTGGTCCAGAGAAATGTCACCCCCAAAGCAATTAATCCAGGCTGTGTCGCTTGCATTGCGAACACAAGTTAGTGAGGGGAGGGGGGAACTTGCCCCACGTGCCTCGCCTGGCCACCGGGCTGCATCTTTCCACTGTTGCTTCTGCTTTTGGCTGCACACAAGGAAAGCAGCAAAAGTTTTTATTTCTCCCCCCCCAGAAATGAGTCTTTGGGACCCTGCAAGGCCTCCTGCTTCAAGGCGTGACAAGTCTCTGAAAGATTCATTTCTGGCGGAGTTTGGGGGAGAGAAAGACTTCTGCTGCTTTCCTTGCATGAAGCCAAAAGACTCACTCTCTCTCTCCCTCTGAGAATGGAGTTGGAGATGGTATCCTGCAATCTCAAATAAAGAATGATTGATCGGTAGGAAAACGGGGTGGGGAATTTTCCTGCAGACTTTTTTTTTGGGGGGGGGGGTTCCCAGGATCTCTGGTCTGCAGGATTTAAAATGAGTTTGGTGGTCCCTGAGGTCCAAAAGGTTGGCGACCTCTGCGTAGAGAGTTGGTGCATAGAGGCAAGGTATTGCAAGAAAAGTCAGTGAAAGAATTGCATGGACTTAATTTCATGCATTGTGCCAAGCCGCGGTTTGCCTTACCCACAATTGTTTTGAATAAAATTAACTGCATTTCAGGAATGTCTAGTTCTGTCCATTCTACAGTATTGGCTTCCCAAAATGTATTCAGTCTGGACCCTCAATAACAGGCGCTATTCTATAAATTATGCCTTTATTCTGAATCAAAATAGCTGTCTCAACATAAAATACCCTCGAATTCAGGTTTTGCAAATCTGCACAGGGACTTAAAATAATCGCGAGATCCTCTGGTTAGAAAGTGTGGCATCAAGTGCATAAACAACTTTAGACCGCTGGTCTAAGTAGTATCTCTCAAAAAGCAATCTATAAAGAGGATAGGCGGCTTGGCTATTTCTACTCCGCCTTCTCCCCGGTTCTTCAAAGGACAGCGTCAAAATTCATTTCGACCGGCAACGGGAAGGGCTGCGTTGGACGAGTAAGCATTTTAAAACACGCCCTTACTAAAAATGGCAACTGCAAGCATCGTGCACGGTATCTTCCCAGTGTTGGTTACTTCAGTTGCAAGAATTCTGACACCCACGTGGGATGAAGGTCACTAGTGCCGGAAGCGGTTCAATGCACGAATAGGCGCCCGAGTTTTTTACGATGGTTTTCTTTTTTTTTCTTTTTTCTTTTAAATGAGCCGTAGAGATAAGAGAAAAACAATCTCGTCGTCTCCCGTTTCTGCCCGGCGTACACGCGCTCATCCAATCAAAGCTCGACGCCGCGATCCGCCCCCCCCCCCCCCCCTTTCGTTCAATTTCCCGCGCCACCAGCCCACCAATGGGGGAGGGCGGCTAGCGCGGGCCTGCGTCGTGACGCCTTCGCCGTAGGCCACATTCAACATGGTGCTGGGTCCGCTCTCTTCTTCCGTCCCGTTTGCCACACCTATCCGGCCGGTCGGAAGCGGGTGGGCGGGGCCATGAAGAAGGAGCCGGGAGAGGGAAATAAGGTGTCTCCCTTTCTCGTTTCCGGGCTGGCGGAGGAACGGCGGCGGAGGTGTGGGTGGCGATGGCGGAGAGGGGGCTGCCCGGGCTGGAGGCCCAGCGGCGGCAGGTAGAGGGAGAGGGGCCGGGCCAGCCCGGGAGGAAGCGACCGCTGGGAACGGGAGAGAAGTGGTAAGTGCAAAGGGTGGGTGGGTGGGGGCGGGAGGGGGGAGCCCCGGGCGGAGAGGTTGTTTTGGGGGCGAGGGTGGTGGATGGGTTGACGAGCTTCGTTCGGTTCCACCGGGCTCAGCTGCTCGCAGCCTGGGTGAAGCCTTGATTCGGGGGGCTGCTTGACCCGCGGGCGACCCCCCTTGGGAGCCGAGGCGACCCCCTTCCCCCAAGGAGACAGGCGCCGCACTCTCTGCCTTGCTGCAGGTTATTTTCAGGTGGTCTTCGAGATGCACCTTCCCGCCCAGGATGAGGAAGTACGGTAGTAGTGGTGTAAAAACGCCTCCCCCCCCCCTTTAACCATGCATCGTGGTTTGTGAAAAAAATGTTCCCTTTGCTGAATGCAATGGGATTTTTGACTCCTCGAGTCAAGTGTAGCGTTGGGCTAATTAGCCATAGCCCCTTATATGCGCTTTCAATTACTGCGCTGAGGCAAACTGGAAGGAGATTTTACTTTAGGATGAATTAGGTACCATTTTTTCCTTGGTCTTTGTGCTTTTTTCCCCCCCCTACCCCTGGCTGAAGCGCCTTCTCAAAATCGCCTTATTTAGTTCTGTTCCCTTTTCTTACGTTTTTAATGCTTTCCCTAAATTGTTCCTTGTTGGGTTGGTTAAGCAATGCTCAGTATATCATGTATTCTCAATAGTAGGTGTAGAACGATGGTTCTAAGCAACCTTAACTATTGCAACGTGGATAACTTTCTGAAGGCATGTCTTTCCGAATTAGTGGAGTTTGGTTATTTCTCTCCTTTTCTTGTCCATTTGGTGCCATGGTATCAGGATGAATAGATACTTTTTAATTAGACCCGCTGAGTACCTTGAAAATTGATTTCTTCTCCATAAGCATCAAATGTCTGTCCCTTATTTTACCAGTCAAGAAAGGAAACTGAAACAAAAATCAACTTGTCATTCCTATAAAGGAGGCTAGTTTCCTCTACACAGGGAGGACTTGACTTTTTTGGTCACTTCCTCTTTCTTTTCCTAGAAATCTTGTACTTTTTTAACCCTTTTTTAACCCTTTTAACCCCCTTTTTACCCTTTTAACTAACAGAATTTCAAGCTATAGGTAGCTTTGAGTGATATGGACTTATGCATGGCAGACCTGATCTTTTTTAAATTATCATTTATTTTATAGTGTTTAGAGTCTGCCCAACTTAAAAGACAGGGCTGGTTGCAATATGTTAATTTTTAAAAACAACTATAAATCAACCTTCTCCTAACATAGCGATCAGCAACATTTAACTAGGTTTGAAGTCTAGGTGAAATAAAACTATCTTCAGTGCTCTTCTGAATGGTATCATGGATGGGGCTTTATGAACCTCTGTAGGTTAGAAGTTTCAAAGTATGGTCACTGCCACACAAAATGTTCTTCTGACTTCAAATGAAGAGTAGGACTCTTAATAGATCTTCCTGGTATCTTTTTCTGAGATGGGTAGATTCATTTTTGGCAAGGCTACGGTGCTACTAAGCTACACCATATAGGGCTTTGTAGGCGACTAATAGCACTTTGAATTGGGTGTAGAAGTCTTCTGGAATCCAGCATAACGCCTGCCTGTTTCAGAGAATGAATTGTCATGGGCATGCTCTGTGGCTCCTGTGTTAAATTATTTGCTTATGTGCCTTTTTTTGAGAATATTGCAGCTTAATGAATAATCCTTGCTTTGCATGCTGAGGTAGATGCTATAATTGATATACTAATAATATAAGGTGAAGTCATATGTTTCTAAATGAAGTTTGATTCATTGGGGATGTATCTCTCTTTGGAGGCAAAACTGCATGCCGGTTCTGCTTTCTTTCTCCTTTATTTTATATAGTCAGTTGACCTACTTGTGATTATCCTTAAGTAGTGCTTGTCTAAGAAAGTGACTTTGGTTTCAACTTGGTTTGGTTTGATTTCATCAGTTAGCAGACTTCCTATTTTATGAAGCAAGTTGAGCTCACAATAGGAATTATTTCAGTTCTTGTATTCTGATGGATGGGCTTTAGAGTGATGTTTGAGTCTTCCTTTACACACTGACTTGAATGCTGCTATGTCTGGAGTGTGACAAACAGGAAGCAGCAACCCAGTAACAGAATAGGAACCTCCTCTATTGTGTTATTACAAAAACTATTTTACACATTTATATCTTACACTCTTATAATGAGATTACAGGCTCAGCCTATGTACCTATTGGGCTTAGAAAGCACTCCCGCTAAATTCCGTGGATCTTGCTTCTAAATAAATATATGTAGATTGTAGCCTGTTGAAAAAATAATGCATGAAGATAAACAAGGGACAGGTAATAAGTAACAAATGCACTTTTGACAAAGCTAGTTTGGTGTAGTGGTTAAGGCACCAGGCTAGAAACTGGGTCACTTGGGGCCAGTCATTCTTTCTCAGCCCCGAAAAGCAGGCAATGGTAAGCCACGTCTGAAATCTTCTAAAGAACTGCAGGGAGTTGTTCAGGAAGCTGCCAGGAGTCATAACTGACTTGAAAATGTGCACATACACGGCACTTTCAACTCAGCTTCAGCCTTAAGTTTTTTAGTTTTTAAAATTTTGTGGTCATATACCCAATAATAAAAATTACTTATCCCACCTTTTGTTTGTATAACTCAAGGGAACAAACATAATATTCCTTATTTTCTCACAACACTCACCCTGTGGGCTGAGAGAGGGACTGTCTCAAAATCACCCAATCTGGCTTTCAATGCCTGTCCATATTAAACCAAGCTAAAGCTAGACCTTGACTTATAACTATACATCAAATATTGTATTTGCTGCAGACGAATAGATTTGATACAAAACCAATCAGTTTTACACTATGCTTCCTTTTTAATAAATCTCTACATTACTTGGTATGCCAATAGGAGCCTGTTAGGCTACTCGAAAAGAGGCAGGTGGATCTGATAGATTTCTCTTTGCCTTTCATTGTGGCCAATAATAGCGGCTTACACTGCCTATTCTTTTTTACAGACTTTGGAGGCTGTTACTCTACTTTCCCAAGTCAAACCAAGAGAAAGATCTTTTTACAGCCTGCCTGGCCCAATTTGATCATGTTGCAGCACAATGGCACACTATAATATTAATTGTGTTGAAAATGGAATGCTTTTTCCTTTCAGTGGAGTAGTCAACAGCTAGGGAGGATGAGGATTATGATTTGCTGCTGAGCAGAAAATTCAAACCGACTTGTCCAAACATTTGACATTGGGAAGTGGAAAATAAGCAGATAACTAAGGGCAGAATTTAGCCATTTATAAGTGGAAGGTCCTCCAAGGATTCTCAAGTGTTTCATACACATTTGTTTGTGCTTCTATCTGTTGTGCCCAATTGAAGGGGTTAGTAAACTATGGCCCAAGGATAGTGACTGGTTTGGCAAGTTCATAGCTAATAGTAAAAATTTGAATTAGGAATAACTGGTGGCATAAATTCCAGTTTGGAGAATGAGAGATTAATAACATAGTTTTACATGACTCCCTGTTCATCCAAGCTATCCTAATTAAATACCATGGAAGGGAAAGAGAGATGCCAGCTGCAACTATGTCGTGTAAGATGTTACATGGGAAGGGAACAAATTGTCATGTTGTGATTCTAGGAAGCCCTTGAAAAGATTTTTTGACTTGTAAGTTTATGTCAGTTGTCTTAATGATCTGAAATGTTAAAAAACATTTAGGATTCTTGGGGATTTGCCCATAAGGACTGCAAACAGAATGTTGCCATTCGTTAGCATAATCAGATGCATATAGCTAGTCAGTGTTTCAGTCTGAGGCCTGGATTTCTTATAATCCTATTTATGATTGGGAATGAAGGGAGAAGAATTGCTACCAGCAACTGTTCCAGATTATATGTTAGAGTGTGGTCTTGATTTAAATTTGAGCTGTCTGCTTCTTTGCTCAGGTATTTGCTGGAAAATCATTGGTACAAGCAGTGGAAAGTTTATGTGGAATCTGGAGATCAGAACTCAAAAGCTTTTCCCGGACGGATCAACAATGCTGAACTCTTTGAAGGTATGGTTTCCTCTGTCTCCTTTTTATTTGAGGCTTCTTCTCTGCCTTTCAGATAAATTCCCACATTACTTAATCTGGAGGATATGAATTATTTGATTTTTCTCTTTTTTCCTCTAGAAGGCTCCAGATTGCATACATTTGATCATTTCAATAAACCAATAAAATATGTTGGGTTAATGAAAAGTGACATTGGGTTTTCTCAGTGCACTTCAGAGATGACCTAATATGGTCATGCTGAATAAGACACAAATGAGCAGGTTCATATGACATGCTAAACTAACATAAAGTAAATAAAATAATTAGCACAATGTGCAAATCTCAAAAATTATAGACACAACTTCACATAGTATATTTCCCAAGTAACTTAGGCTTTGAATCTGGCTTTCTGCACTATTTCAGCAGTAATTGCTATACCATACTGGCTCTATGAGAAGGGGCCTTCTATGGAAGCTGAAAAATATTTCCATGTTAAGCACTTGCAGTTGATAAGAAGCTTGGCTCCGTTTCATGAATGCCAAAATTGGTGAGGGCTCACCATTGCTCTTAAGCTACGGGCTTCTTTAAAGAGGGTGAGTCCTCCACGATTTCAGCCTTCCTTCCTTCTTTCTTCCTCCAGATTTGGAGTCTTACCGGTTGAAGGATAGGCTGGTAGAACATGAAGAGTACATTCTGGTGCCAGAGGAAGTGTGGGGCAAGTTGGTGAGCTGGTATGGCATTGAACATGGCCAGCCAGCCATTGAACGAAAGGTGAGAAATTTGGAGTTGAGAAGCACAGGTTTTCTTTGGAATTTGCCTGCCCTGTAGCATTTTCCATTGCAGTTAATAGAAAAGGTGCCTGGAGAACAAAGATTCTTTCAGCTCCCTATGTGAGTAGAAGACTTTTTTCTAGAGATAGAATTTAATAATACTTAATTTATAGGCTACCTTTTTTAAAAGTAATCTTTCCCCCAGCATTATCTACCAATTGCTAATGGTAAATTGCAGGGGTTGAGAGAATGGGGAGTGGCTTATAATATGTAATGAAAATAAAAATTATGGGGATTATTAGTTCATGGATCTCATTCTTGCCATGAATGCTCCTCGTATAGCCCATATGCTGATGGACATCCTGCTAGGTTCTTGCTAGTATTACCGCTTTTGCTTCTTTTTACATATTTTCCTGAAAGAACTGTGTGTTCTACTGATAATAAGGGCCATTCAGCTTTATGGATGGGGGTTGGCTTTCCCCTTCTGGGTTTCTCTTCAGAGAGAATTTAGCAATAAGTATCTACCAATGCTGATTTTCCCAATTTCTCTTAATGATATTCTGTCCCTTGTTGTTTGATTCTCCATTTTGATTCTTCCTTCCCAGGTGGTAGACCTTCCTAGCATGCAGAAGGTAGAAGTTTACTTAGTGGAGCTGTACCTCTGTCAGCACAACGATGTAGACAACCATGTGGTCACTCAATTTAGCCGGATGGATACTATTGGTAAGGTCTCGGGAATTCTAAATTCAGCGGAGAGGGGGAAAATAGAGGGAAAAACAGTGGGTATTTGTCGCAAGAAGTCATTTTCTCTTTGTCCTCTCTTCTCCTGCCCCTTAGATTCAGTGCTAAAAGAGGCCCGGCATCAGTTTTCAGTTCCAGCAGAAGATGAATCAAGACTCTGGGTGAAAAATGCTGATGGCTCCTATGAGAGGTTACGAAACTTGCAGATGACTGTGCTGGATGCCTGCCTAAGTTCAGGGCAGGTAACGCTGCTGTCCCCAGGTTGAGGCTGGCCTGTATACAAAAAGAGGCAGAATTGGTTTTGTGCCAAGATTTCTCTCTCTGGCATATATTTATATAAATTGGTTTTCCACAGCCTGTTGCTCCTCAGCTGTGTTCGATGGTTACAATTGACAGGCTGGCTGAAGGTGGAGCCATCTGGAAGATAGCAATTTGAACTGGGTTTGAGATTATCAGTTCCCATGGCTGGATTTGAGATAATCAGACAGACAGACAGACAGTCCCTGGGGAGGGACTGCAAATTTAGACTACAATGGAGTACACTTATCTAAATAGCAAAACTGATTTAAGGGAACAGTAGTTTTTACTGGATTGAAGCCACTCTTTGCATCTCCTACACAACTGCCATTCTTGGATCTGGATCAAATAATTACTTTTTGGAGAGAAAACACACACACACACACACACACACACACACACACACACACACACCTTGAACACTAGATGAATTTTAGTAAGGAGACCTATTAGTTGTGTGATTAGGACTTCTTCCTGAAATCTCTCTTGGGAGGTCTCAAGACGCTTGTTCTGAGGGAGGATATTGGAAGACATGCAGAATTGCTTTTCCCCCTTTGGGAACTTTGATGGCCTCTCAGACACCCATCTTAAGAAGGGAAAGAATTTCTGGGCAGCTAGTTTGATTTTAAGCCGCCTGTATTTCTTGACATCACATATTCAAATATCCTCCAAAACCTTTTCTATCTCAGATCTCTGCTTCCTTTTAACATTGAATAAAATGTATGATCACGATCATATTTGGAAATATGGAAGGTGGCTCTTTGGCCATAATTAGGTGTTTATGAATGCACTCCTCTGGAGTGCTCTCTTAGAGGCTATGATAAAATACTGCTTTTGTTGGAAACAGCCATGTCTCGCCTTAAAATTTCTCCAGGGATACTATACTATTCACCAATGGCTTCAAAATGTTCAGTTTCCATGGAAGTCATCCAGTCAAAATAGAAAAATATAAGATATACAAGATGGAAAAATAGATGGAATGGATTGTGTGCGTGCGTGTATCTAGGTTCACATGCTTTTCCCTGGTTGCTTAATAGTCATTTTTTTGGGTTCACATAACGTTATTAAACAATAAATGAATTACTATAAGTAGGCTGGGTTCCCACAAAATACCAAACAAAACAGCAACACAAAATTAACCATACTTAGCATTTGCTGCATTCACCTATGAATTTTTTAGCTGATCTTGTTAGATCTTATGGGAGTTGCCTTGCAGTAGGAGAGAAAATGAAGGATAAGTTTGTATCTTTGACAAATCATAGGAGTGCCTCTGCTACCCTTGAGCCATTCATTACTTTGATATTCAAATAATGGCCTGAAAATTATGTTGCTTTGATCCTTTTGTTGGGCTTGCAAGTAATAGTGATAGGTGATAAGAGCAAGGAGATAGATGCTATAAAAGCAATAGAAATAGATATAATAGCTTTTAGCTGGACAGTAGTATAGCGTGTTTGCTGTCTGGGAGTTTTAAAAATGTGTTTGAGTAGCTTGAGCAACTCCAGAATAATAGAGATGCTATGCTTTTTATTACCCAGTAATTTTACTGAATAAATGGTAATTCTGGTTGGAAGTCAGGGGAACCGATATAAGAGAATATGTGTAGCTCATGGTTGAAATTAGGGGTCCTTGGTGGTCTCTGAGCTTGGTTATTTTCTTGCAGGCATTTCATTACCAGACTAGATCACATCATCAATGCTGATAATGCTAACTAGTTCGGTAATGAAACAACCAAACTCAGAGAGACCCAAGGACTTCACATGTCATGGACTGTTGCCTAGCCACACACCAGTTAATATAGCCCAGGGTTGTTGTTTTTTACTTTTATTGTGCCTCTCTTGACCTTTTCCTGCTTGTACCTTGTTCCCTTCAGATTGTGATAATGGAGACCAGAAGTAAAGACGGTACTTGGCCCAGTTCCAGACCACATATCATGTGAGTATCTAAACATATTATCAATTCCACAGTGTTGAGGTATAGCTGCATCCCCTGTCTGGGGTGGGTTGTACTTTCAAAATTGGGCAGCATTCCAGTTCCCAGCTTGCCTGAGCTGTTGTGGGGATACGGCTGTCTTCGGATCTTGTTCTGCTCCAACAGGAACCAGGCTGTGGGTATCACCTCCTCTCATTCACAGTCTTACTTTACTTGCATTTTTCAGGAATAATTCCATTGATGAGGAAGAGCGGTACCAGGGCCAGCCAGGGATTTGTGGCCTTACCAACCTGGGGAACACATGCTTCATGAACTCTGCTTTGCAAGTAAGAAATATGATGATCTTTTGATGCCAAACTTTGGGTACTGTGATGACTTGCCAGCAAGCCGAATGAAAACTTGGCTCACACTCTGCTCATATATTAGGTGCATTGCCAGTGTTGTTACATGTCTGCCCACATGTACTAATGGGTTATGTATTTTGTCATTGCCTGCTTGTATGCCTATTTAGAGTAGCTATTACATTGTAGAGGAATTAACCATCTTGGCTGACTGTTTCTTAACACTCACCAATCCCTGAATGCTTCCAAGAGGGAAAAAAAAAGCCCACTATTTTCTGAGAAGGGCACTTATATATTTATGTTGTCTATTATGATAAATGTCGGTCTTGTAAAAAGTACAATATTGACAACAGCTTTTGCTTGAACTGCAAACCATAAAATTGAGAATTCAATCACCTGGAAAGCTATGACAATATTACCAGCCACTTCTTAGTGCTAAGCCTCTGGTTGCATTTAATTGTCCAGCATCCTAGTCAAAACAGATTTCTCCTACAGTACGGTAACATAATTCAATAAAGTCTGCTTGAAGCAGTTTTGGTACAGCCCTAACCTAATATCAACCATAATAACAACACCTCTTTGTTTATATTTACCTTCCACTCCTGAGTACCACCCTGTAACCAATTCTCATTTCTGTTCTATACATACCAGTGAGCCATGATGTCTTTCCTACCCTTTACAGCAAGGGAAGCTATAGGGTTTTCCTGCTACTGCAGATTTGATCAACAAAACCAACTGCCTCAGCAAAGATGACTAGAAATTCCTGTTTCTCTCCCACACATGGATTTGGATGAGGGAGTTGCAACCCATCCAGGGTCCTTCTGTACCACCAGTAGCCTGCTTACCATCTGTGGAAGAATATTAGATTTGCTAGTTCAAGGAATTTTGATTACATCATCTTTGTCATTGACGACTTGGAATGATTGATAAATTAAAGATTGTTCTCTTTTCTGTTTTTTTTAAAATGCCCTTGTAAATAATTCTCTCTTTTTTCCCTCTTAAATTTAAACTGGAGAAAGTAGGACAACATAGATTATAATAATACAGTCAAACATTTCTTTTACCCAATGGTAAGAAGAGAAACAGAAAGGACCCTTCTGACATTTGGCTATTTGAAACTAAAAAAAAGCTAAATTGCACCTACCTATTCCTTAGTAATGATGAGTTTGTGTTCCCATTATAAAAATAATGTCTGTATAAATATCACAGCTACATTTGTCCTTGGTGTACATGATGTTTACATGAAAAAATGACTACTGGAAAAGTTCTCCCCTTCTGGGTCAATATCAGTTTGTTTAACCTTACTTTTAATTTCATTCATTTCACACACAAAAAAGATTCTGTGTCAGAGATGTTTCCCTCACCCACCGGAGCTTCATTCTGAAAGATGGACTACCATCTAACATGACATTTGGCACACTTTCATCCTTTCTTCCAGTGTCTCAGCAATGTGCCCCCTCTGACGGAATACTTCCTCAATAATCATTACCTGGACGAACTAAACTTCACCAACCCTCTTGGCATGAAAGGTGAAATTGCTGAAGCCTACGCGGATCTCATTAAACAGAAGTGGTCTGGCCACCACCGCTCCATCGTGCCGCGAATGTTCAAGGTTAGCTCTTGTCTTACTGCTTTTTTAGTTTGCATCTAGTTCTTTGCTGATCTCAGAGGCCCTGTTTTTGCATCCCCTTCAGACCAAAGTGGGCCATTTTGCCTCTCAGTTCCTTGGCTATCAGCAGCATGATTCCCAGGAGCTTCTCTCCTTCCTGCTTGACGGCCTGCATGAGGACCTCAACCGTGTCAAGAAGAAAGAGTACATTGAATTAAAGGATGCTGCAGGGAGACCCGATGAGGTGAGCATCTAAGGGAAATATCAGAGAGTCCAATTTGGATTCTAGCCAACGGTGATAATGCGTGTATGTTTGTAGTAGGAATGACGTGTCGTCAAACTTGGAAGCTTCCGACTGGAGATCTTATTTGTTGAATTTCCATTCTGATCTTTACATTGTCTTCTTCTGGTCCATTTCAATTTTTATACCGCTGTATGGAAAAATGGTACTTGAAGGAAGACCAGTCACACCTACCTGTCAGGTTGTGGGTTCATGAAGAAATATCATTTGATGGGACTCAAGAGGAAAGCCTTTTCTGCCATGGTAGCTGCCCTTTGGGACATCATCAGATTGGCCCTGACCTTGTTGGCTTTCTGGAAGGGCCTGAAGACATGGCTTTGTCATCTGGCCTGGGGGAATCTGGTAGTGGTGCTAGAAAAAGGAATGGTGCTTTCCCACAGATTATGGGGTGTTTTGTTTTTTGTTACTGTTTCTAATGACTCTCATTACAGTTTGGCTTTATTTTTTCTACGGGGTGGTGGTTAACTTCATTAGCTGCCCAGAGTCACAGAAATAAGATGCAAGTGACTAAGCAAACTCAATTAATTAATCCTTTACACCCAGTGCAGTCTGATGAGGAATTCATATTAGTTCCCCAAGTCCAAAGTTCAGTGAACTCTAAACGTTATTGGTTTTGTCTAATCTCTTACATCTAAATTTCACGGGAGGAAGGTTTTTGAAACCTTAGCATCTATATAGAAATAAAAATCAAGCTTTTGTTCCCTCTGAGCAAGGGCAGGGCAGGGCAGTGATAAAGGGGGGGACTCCCAATGGCTTTACAGTAATCAGATTCGGCAGTAAAAAAGAAAGGAAGCTGGATATAATTCGATGAGGCTTGGAGTCTGCTGAAATGAGGCATAAAGAATGAGAACCACTCCATTACTGCAGTGAACTGGGGATGTCCTTTCACTAAGGGTGGAGTGCTGTGGGAGTGCAGAATTTTTGGTCCTGACCTCAGAACAGGCTCTGTGTGCTGGTTGCAAGAGCCTTGGAAATAGCACAACTTCAGGAAGACTCAGAATAGCCTATTTCAAGGTTGGAATCAACTCAGAATCAACCTATTTCAAGGTTGACAGGGCTGGGTCTTTTTGGAAAAGTATACTGTTGATGCATCAACTATTCCTTTCTATGGGATCCTTGCTTCAGGCGCCTGTGCTCGGTTTATAATGCTTATAAATTCTCTGAGGTTTTCCATCACAAATGCTATGCATTAATTGGAGGGGCGATACAATAGACCTCATCTTTCTCTCCCCCTACCCCCTTGCAGAGTTCCCCCAGCAGCAGAGGAAGACTAGCGTAATTGGTTTCACTTTAAAGATAAGGTAGCAGGGAAAAATTAAAAAGTCCTTTGGAGATGGTTGAGATTTGCCTGTTAATTCTGAGGTATTTGTTGCCAAACTCCATTGTAAAATTCAAAGGTAAACTTCCTTCTCTTTGACCTCAAGTTGTGGTTAACATCACTTCAGCTGGTGTATTTAGTAAAGTGAAATGCTGAGAATTGTAATTCAGCAAAAATGGGTGAGCATGGGAAGAGAGAGGCTGTAGTAGACTATTCCACAGTATAGCATTTCAGACTAATAGTATTCCAGACTATTCATTCTACCACTTCCTGTTCAGGAAGTAGCAGAAGAAGCGTGGCGGAATCACAAACGTCGCAACAATTCCATCATTGTTGATATCTTCCATGGACTCTTCAAATCAACATTGGTTTGCCCTGAATGTAACAAAATTTCGGTGACCTTTGACCCCTTCTGCTACCTCAGTGCCCCTCTGCCAATCAGCAAAGACCGAGTGATGGAGGTTTTCTTTGTCTCCATGGATCCCTGTAAGAAACCTGAACAGGTACCAACAAGCTGTTTGCAAAGCTCCTTACCGTGGCAAGAAAGTTGTGGCATGTCTTTATTTGAGTGAGATTTGAGAGTTCTAGAGTTGCGGTGAACGGCCCTAGAGCCCTTGTCATATATGTAGAAATTTTCAAGCTTGATAGTTGGGGTGGGGAAAAGGTTCCCATCTGAAACGCAGGAAAGAGGTTTCCAGCCATTTGGATAACATGACCAAATGGAACCAAAATTTGACCTTAGTTTATATAGCCTCAACTTATTTTTATAATTTATGCTGAATGCAAGCATGCACAATAGATAAATAATGAAATGGTTTAGATCTGACTATGGACTTTACACTTAAATGGGACCTATAGGTCTGTCCCCAGATCACTTTCTGTCCTGGAGATGGATTCAGCCTAGTGGGGAATTTTGACGTGAGTTTAGAATTTGATTTTCAATTGACTTTCTTACTGACCTCTCTTTGTCATTGTCTTACAGTATAGGTTGATTGTCCCGAAAGCTGGGAAAGTGCTAGACCTCTGTCGTGCTTTATCAGAGTACACAGATGTGCCTGCAGAGCGGGTAAGTTTGCCAGGAGGGTGAAGGAGAGATGCCTCAATGGACCGTAGAGGCCTGTTCTGTGTCTTCCCTTTCTCATGACTGTTTCTTTGCCTCCTCTCCAGATGATGGTGGCCGATGTGTTCAGTCACCGCTTCTACAAGATCTATCAGAGGGAAGAATCTCTCAGCTGTATCCTGGACCGGGATGACATCTTCATGTGAGTTTGGGGAGGGGATAATAATATAAGGCAGCAGAGCAGTTGTTACCCTGGTGCCCTTCCAGTGCAATAAGCTATAACTTTAATTACTCTAGTCAGCACAGTCGACGTATCTAAAAAGCCCAGATTGGAAAAGCCCCAAATAAAATAAGGTAAAGGAGTGAGAGCTAGTAAATTATAGAATCACAGAATTGGAAGGGATCTTGGGGTCAGGTAGCCAATCCCCTCCTCACTCTAGGATGTACTGTACCACTACAATGAGTCTGAATAATAAGATGGACCTGTAATTCAGACTAGCATTTTACTATAGTGAGTAGCCAGGGTGTAGCAAGCGGAGGTGTGGGTCAATTTTGATAGCAGAAGCAGCAATGAGCACAAGAGGTAAATATGCCATTGCTCAGTGGGTTGGTCTGAGCATGCTATGCATCAAGTCCTGTTACTTTATCCCAGCAGTAGGCAGAGAAGGAAGATCTTGGGTTGGTGCTCAAGGTGGACACTCTTAGAGCTTAGGGGACATTTTCCTCAGTGTCAGAAGCAAGTTGGGAATGTCGGTAGACCTGGAAAATTGAAGCTGCCCACCTAAGGGTGTATCCTTGCCCCCAAAGTTGCTTTTTTGAGCATCTTCCTTTCCTTAAGGAAATTTGATTGGGGCCACCATTATAGTCTTGCAGGTAGTCCTCGACTTAGGACCGCAATTGAGCCCAGAATTTGGGCTGCTAAATGAGAAATTCATTAAGGGAATTTTGCCCCACTTCACAGCTTCGCTTGCCACATTTGTTACGTGAATCGCTGCCGTTGTTAAATTAGTAACACTAATTGACCTAATTTGAATTCGTTGTTCAGTGAATCTGGCTTTTCCATTGACTTTGCTTGACAGAAGGTCTCAAAAGACGATCACATCACCCTGCGACTGTCATAAATGTAAACCAGTTGCCAGCATCCAAATGTAACTCACGTGACCATGGGGGGGGGGTGTGCTGTGACGGTCATAAATGTGAAAAGGGGTCATCAGTCACTTTTTTCAGTGCCAGTGTAACTTTGATCGGTCACCAAGTGAACTATTGTAAGTTGAGGGCTACCCGTATAGCCATCAAGTTGAGCCCTTTGTAATTTGTCTTCCAATTGTAATTGACATCGTTTCCCCTGTACTGTTTAGTGGCTCATTGCCTCTCAGTCGGTGGAGTATACAGTGTTTGATTTTACTGTGTTTATAAAATTTTACGTGTATTGTGCATTTCTGGTTCTGCTTATTACCGTGGAATGGCATTTAAATGGAGGCTAGGTCTATAAAGAAGCAAGTAGTCTCCTTCCTCCTCCTCCTCCAACTCCTCCTCCTACTCATAGCATGCCTCTCCATCTCCCTCCAGATACGAGGTTTCTGTGTCCTGCCTGGAAGACCTGGCCTCAGCAGATGCAGTGGTACTGCCAATCTACCTTCGGGAGCGTACCCAGGGCCGGGACTACAGCAACAGCTACTATGGGGTCGTGCTTTTTGGTCACCCACTTCTGGTATCTGTGCCCCGGGATCAGCTCTCTTCAGATGCCTTGTACGAGTTCCTGCTGCATCGGCTCTCGTGAGTGATTTCAGTCTCTGAGATAGCTTAGCTCAGCTCCTTCTCAGCTGGGGTATGAAGGGAGAGATATACGAAAATACTTCCCCCAAAACAGCTTTCTCCAATTTGGATGCTTCCCCCCCCCACCCCCAAATAAAAGTCTTGAACTCCCCGGGTTCCCCAAGCAATAGGGCCATTGCTGAGCATTCTGGGAATTGAAGTCCACATAGCAATAGCACTTAGATTTATATACGGCTTTGCAGTGATTTTCAGCCCTTTCTAAGCAGTTTATAAAGTCAGCCTGTTGCCCCCAACAATCTGGGTCCTCATTTTACCCACCTTGGAAGGATGGAAGGCCGAGTCAACCTTGAGCCTGGTGAGATTTGAACTGCCAAATTGTAGGCAGCCAGTAGGCAGCAGAAGTAGGTTGCAGTGCTGCATTCTTAACCACAGAGCCACCTCTGCTCATGGCGGGAAGGCTAGATTGGGAAAAGAATGCCAAATGGAAGTCTATACTCAGTGCTATTCCAGTAATTCAAAGTGAATCCATTTCTATTTTATACCACTACTATTGATGCATTGATTTGATTTGAAGGATCCAAGCTCTGATTTTGCCTTAAAAAGTATTTTTGTGGCCCTAGTTTAGATTTGACTTCCTGATTTTAGTCATGGCAAAAACAGGGAGCTAAAGCAGTCTGCCTGGCAACCTGGCCAGGATGACAGACTTTCGTAGCTAGCTATTGGGAAAAAGCAGTCCCGAGGTGAGAATTGGACTTTGTAGCTATGACAAGTGCAAGAACTGCTACAGGAGAGGCAGGTGCCCAAATGGGTATGTTGTGTGGCTTTTTTTTTTTGCATAGTCCAGTCCTGGAGCTTCCTTTGCATAACCAAATGATGGCCCGCCATTTAATCTCATCCGTCTTCCTTCTGGTCAAATACAAAATTCAGCATAGCAGAGTTGTACTCAAGCCAACTATGCAGAGAGGGTAGTCTTTTGCTTCCCAGGGATTGTGACTCTGACCTATTTGGATGGGGTAGCATTTCCCCCACTTCAAGAAGGGTGCGCAATCTGGGAATCTTTCTGGACTCAGAGCTGCTTCTTGATCAGGTGGCAGCTGTGACCAGGGAGGCCCTTGCACAACTTCATCTGATGCACCAGTGGTGCCCCTTCCTAGATTGGGAGGCCCTTTCAGACAGACATTCACGCCCTGGTACCTCACGGCTTGACTGCTGCAACTCACACTTCATGGGCTGAAGGCCACCCAGAAACTTCTGCTGGTCCCAGAATGCAGGAGTATAGGCAGTGGTAGTCTTGCCTTGGTATGCCTATAGTTCTGCTTTGGGAATTGCATTGGTTGCCAGTTTCCTTCCGGGTATGATTCAAAGCCCTGGAGTTACCTATAAAGCCCCACAGGGCCTAGTTTCTTGTTTCCCATATTACCTGCCTGGCTGATTCAATCCAGCAAGGTGGTACACTGTGGGTTTAATTAAACAATGCCACCTGTCGGGATCCCGTAAGTCTGCCTTCTTTGTCACAGCGCCTCCCTCTGAAATGAGGTTCTGTCATTCGGGTCGCCCTTGCCCCTCTTGGTGTTTTGGAGGGCCTTCAGAACCCAGTTCTTTGATGAGAGCGACTGAGACTCCTTTAAGTGATGTGGGTTTCTACTTTTTCTTATATGATGGCTGTCTTTTATTAATTGTCCTTCTATCTAGTATTATATTGATTTATTCCTTTTAATGTTGTTCACTTGTGAATCATCCAGGGCTGTTGGGAGTCGGGCAGCATACAGATTTGCATAAAATGTCAGCATTCCAATGAAACTCCTCAATGCCGAGTTTTTTACTTGGTAATTTTAATCTAAGGTACTTGGTTGACAAATAATAGGAATCGCTTAGCCTAAGATTCTGGAGATGGCTGAAAACAAACTCTGCAGTCCTTAAGAGCAAGCTGATCCTATATCAGAAGTCTGACTGAACTGTAATTTTTTTTTTTTAAATGAATGAGTATTGACAGACATCTGACCACATAATATCTCCCCCTACCTCCCGGAACCTGTCCATCCCTGAGTCTACAGCTATTCCTTTCACTGGATTACAGTCCCTATGTCAGGCAGAGGATGTGATCTGCTTCTCTTGTTGACAGCCGCTATGTGACATGGCCAGACTCTGAGGAAGAACAGAGTGAGGAGGAAGACGAGGAGGAAGATGAGGAGGAAGAGGATCTCTACAATAAGAGATCCAATGGGCTGAGTGAAGGTGAGGAAGACTGGTGAGATAAGAGTGTTGAATAGGAAGGGAGGGAAATATTAAGATGTTCATTCTAATTCACACCTGCTTTCTTTACCCGTAATTTGCAGGGGAGGATGAGGAGGAAGATGAGGAAACAACAGCGGAAGGTTTTGCCAATCAGGACCCTAGCTCAGGGACAGAGGAAACCCCTTCAGACACATCAGTGGGGGAGGAAGGGACTGGTGTGGAGGAAAGGCGGAGCGCCAACACATCTCCCCCGCAGCCTCCCCAGTCTCCCCGTGCGCTGTCTTCCAGTCCTCCTACAGCCAACCAGGCGAAGCGCAAATGCTGTCTGCCCCAGAAGCAGCCAAAGTTGCTTTTTACACTCCGACCCGTCAATTCTAATGGCACCAGTGACTGGTTGGCTGGCCAAGAGGAAGGCAATCCTGTCTCCTTCCACTGTAAGTCCCTTCGGTAGAATAACTTCACATTTGTGGTAACAAAGGCTCCCACTAAGAAAATGTTTGGGTGGGGGGCAAATTGGGAATGTTGAGGAAACATCATTGGCACAAAAGGGTTGGCAAGGGAATCCTGCAATGGCGGCTGTGATGGAAAGGTTAAAAGAGTCTTGTCCTTGTGAGCCTCAATACATGATAGAAGTTAGGACAGAAACCCCAAATGCCAACTCCTTTGCATCTGTGGGCTTTGTTGATGCTACACAAGGCAGTCTTATTTCTGTTATTGTAGTATGAGAGTTTCTCTGCACACCCAGCTCTCCCTGTCTCTAATAGCTTCCTTCCAAGGTCACTTATCACAGTTGTTATGTACCTTTAGATCAGAAGTGGGGAACGGCCCCTTTATGACTTGTGTGGACTTCAACTCCCAAAATTCCTGAGCTCAGCCATGCTGGCTCAAGAATTCTGGGAGTTGAAGTCCACAGGTCGTAAAATGACCCTAGTTCCCCACTCTTGCTTTACATCTTCCCGCTTGTTCCCATTACATCAGATCATTCAAATCCCTCCATTAATTTGAGCGGGAATCTTACTGGGATGAGCTAATGTCTCTTAGCCCTTTGGTCCTAGGATTTTATAGGTGAGTCCAAACGTCCACAGAAGCAGCTACTGTATGGTGCATTAAGGACTGGAAAGGTGAATGCTGTCTTGGCTGCTCTCAGTATGTGCTGGGGAGAAAGTCATGCCTGGGCCCAGTCTGCTGAACCTGTGTAGTTAACATGCAGCG